GAGGTCTCCCGAGGAGGAGGGGGACGAGCGCATCACGCACCAGGTGGGGCGGGGTGGGGTGGGGGCGGCAGGGCAGTGTGGGGCGTGTGTGGGGCGGCAGCCCATGATGTGGCGGCTGATGTCAGCAGAGGGCCACGCGCGCCCCCCTGCTCCGGCCCAGCCTCGCGTGAACGCCTCCCCCTGCTCCTCCCGGCGCCACCACCCCACCCCCTCACCCTCATGCCCCATCCTCTCCCTCCCCCTCCCCCTCCTCCCAAACCGCAGGTGGTGGACCGCCCCACCCAGGGCCACCGCTTCCTGTCCCGCGAGTATGTGCAGCCGCAGTGGGTGTTTGATTCAGCCAACTTCCGGGTGCTGGCGTCGCCGGCGCTGTACGCGCCCGGCCGCGCGCTGCCGCCCCACCTGTCGCCCTTCGTGAGCGCGGAGGAGGAGGGGTACGTGCCGGAGTACGGGCGCCAGCTGGCGGCGCTGCAGGAGGCGGCGCGCGCGGCGCGGCGCCGCCGCGCCGCCGCCGCGGGCGACGTGTTTGTGGGGGAGGAGGCGGAGGAGGGGGCGGCCGGCGGCGCCCCCGCTGCCCTGCTGACCGCTGAGGAGGAGGCTGAGGCGGCCGAGGCGCGGTATGCTGCTGAGCTGGCCAAGGAGCTCAAGGTGGGCTGCCTGCCTGCCCGTCAGCTGGTCGGCTGTGGGTGGGTGGTGGGTGTGGGTGGGCGGCGGCGCTGAGCAGAGGTGATGCCAGGCAGGAGGAGCCAGGCAGCGCCCAGCCTGTGCATTCCACAGCCCGCCGCCGCTCGCCCTCCTGAACCGCGTGCCGCTCCATCTCCCCTCTTTGCTTCTGCCCCGCAGAAGGCTGGCGTGGCTGCGGCAGGCGGCGTGGAGTCTGAGCAGTCTGAGGAGGAGGAGGCGGCGGCTGCGGCGCCGGCTGCCAGGAAGCGGCGTGCGGGTGGCGACACCCAGGAGGCGTCTGCTGCGGCTGACGAGGCGGCCATGAAGGATATCATGATGACGCGCAAGGCCAAGAAGATGTACCAGGGGCTGCAGAAGAGCCGGGCGGCCAAGAAGGCGCGCGTGGCGGCGCTGGAGGAGAAGGCGGCGGCGTGGAAGGACAAGTGATGTCGTCGGATGCCGGCCCGGGGCAGCTCGCCGCCTGCAGATTGCTTTGGATGATGGGCAGCATTATTTTGGTTTGAGGGCGCGCTGTTACCAAGCAACACACTTCTGAGCGAATGAATGATGGTGATGCGGGACGGCCTGCCCGCATGGCGCGCGGCGCCCCGCCCGCCCACATAACCGCCCTGCCGGCAATGCGCCAGCCCTCTTCACCCCATCGTCATCCCCTCTGCCACATCTCCTGCAGCAATGGCAGAGCCCGTGAACGCGCGTGTGGCGGACATTTATGAGGCCTCCTCCAAGCTCTCGCGCTACGCCTTCGAGCCCTACTGGCCGGAGAAGAAGCTGAAGATTTGCGTGACCGGCGCTGGCGGCTTCATCGCAAGGTGGGATGCGGCAAACCGGGCAGATTGTGGCGCTGCGGCCGCGCAGGTTTCGGCTGTGCACCGGCGAACGTTCGATCGCCCCTCCTTGTTGCAGTCACCTGGCCAAGCGGCTAAAGTCTGAGGGCCACTACATCATCGGCTGCGGTGAGTGCCCGCTCTTCGCCCTGCCCCACGCATTGCGCCCTCCCAGCCACCCACTCCGCCCCGACTGCACCCACATGCAGACTGGAAGCGCAACGAGCACATGCCGGTGAGCGGTGTGCCGGTTTGGGCGGCGGTGGCGGCGGCGGCGGGCGGGCGCGCTGGGTGGCGGCAGCGCCCTCGCGCACCGTGCGTGCCTGTGGCCAGCCAGTGCTGCCCGGTGCTCCTGGCACCCAGCGCTCCACGAGCACAGCTGCGGCGACGCGGTGGGGGCATGCGCCTGCCCACGTCGCGGCTCGCATGCCAGCGCCCGTGCCGCCGCTGGACGCCACCCTGGTCGCCTCACCTCACCCACCCCTGCACCCCTGCCGCCCTGCCCCTGCCCCTGCCGCAGGAGGAGGTGTTTTGCGACGAGTTTGTTCTGGTGGACCTGCGCGTGTTTGACAACTGCAGGAAGGTGGTGGAGGGGTGCGAGCACGTGTTCAACCTGGCGGCAGACATGGGCGGCATGGGCTTCATCCAGTCCAACCACTCGGTCATCATGTACAACAACACATCCATCTCGTGAGCGCGGGGGGTGGGGGCGCGGCGCGCGTTCCTCACGGGGGGGCCTGTGCAGGGGTTAAAGAAAAGGTCGGAGCATGGAGG